GGGGTTAGATGTTAACTGTAGGTACTACCTGTCTGAAGTTCTGTTACTTGAACACCGAAATGGGACCATCAACTCTAGTGTTGACCACAGGTACTTGAAAATGTGTTTGAATCCATTTTGTATTTTGTTGAGTTTGAAGACTTAGATCTTAAAGGTGCATTGCATAACTTTTCTGCTTGAGTGTCCGCTACCTGCTTGATTCCATGTAGATGTATCGTTTTTTTCCTGGAATGGTCTATACAGTATGGCGTTTCATTTAACTATCTCCATGGAGACAAGCAGCCACATCACCAGGTAAAGTTACAAGTCAGATCTATAGAGAAGTGGGCCCACTCAAAGTAAAAATGCACGTTTTTGTGGTAGTTTGGAGGGACAAAAACTCCTCTAAGGCTATGTTCAGACTGCAGCCTGAACTGACCTCTATGCGACCTGTATCTGATCTTTTAATGATCTTTTAAGTCTGAACGACACAGATCACATTTTTTCAAAAGTGACCCAGGCCACTTGAATATGTGGTCCTAAAACCGATACATATCTGATCTTTTGACATGCCACTTCAGTCTGAAAGGCCAGGTTGTATTCATCCCACCTACATATCATCAACAAGCAACAAACGTCACTATTTTTGCACTGAAGTAGGCGGAACCTGGAAGAATGCCACAACCAGAGTGTGAGAGTGGTACAAGTAGGTGTTCACAAATGTACACAAACGTTCTTCTAGTCATACGGAAATTTGTGTATGAACTCCATGTGAATGAAGCAGCAACACACATAGCAAGCCCACCACTCTTGGCTGCGACTCCGCACCCACACGGTCCTTTCTACGGACGTTGCTCCCACGACCCCACAAAATGCCACGGCCAAAAACCTCGTCCTGCTCCTTCTCATTCTCCTCCGTAAAACAAATAAGTTGTACATGTTCTGACTCTGGTACGACAACAACTTTAAAATCCCCAGGTGCTCAGTGCTGCATCCAAGTTTAGGCAACTTCCATAAACACTGAGCACACTTGCTGCAGGTGACGTTGTTGTGTCCTCCAATGCACATGCGGACACTTTTGGGGCGTTTAAAGTTCACACTGGAGATCACATACAAGTCGCATTTAATTGGAAATGTGAACTCGACCTCGCAAAAATAATCCGAATTGAGCATTAAGCCCTGCAGTCTGAATGTAGCCTAATTGAATAAATGCAATATATTTGTGTTTAATGCCATACTGTGGTAGCCAGGCTAGTGCCACCTAGTGCCTCAGCTCAATTTCATTTCTCGCCAGTGACTAGGTCAGGAATCGGAATTGGAATCAGAATATACAATTTGCAAGAACCCCGGACGTTGTAGACCGCACACTGGCCAATCAGCGAAGAATTGTGAAGCCATGACGTCAAACTCAAGCGCCTGTCTGGGTCCCTTTTGTGGTACAGGACAACAGTATACAAAACGGTCGAGATGGATGTAGACGAAGCCAGACATTCTATTTTGGCAACAATTCCTGAAATTAAGGATTTAAAGCCGGAACAAAGAGAATGTTTGGTGAATTTTATCAAGGGGAAAGACATTATTGTCCTTCTTCCTACGGGATCTGGCGCATTACATATGTCACGACCAAATAGCAGCGATTGGTTAAATAAAATAGTATCCGCATACTGTCGAGCGAACAAATTCTAATGCTGTGAGGTCAGACGGTTTGGACAAAGTGAAACTGTTGAATGAATCGGGCTAATACTGCAGAACATCCCAGGCAAAACAATAACGTCACAACGGAGAAAAGTAGCCAGCGGACCCTCCACCGGAAAAGCTACGCAGTGCACATTTAAACTCATCAGGCTATGTTTGCTAATGTCTGCATTGCATCGTCGTGGTAACAATCCCTATGAATTGGAATCTGTTTGAATCCTGTTTTTCCCATTCACATAAAGCAGCGTCTGTGTCCCAGTGCAGAGTAAACAGGACCATGTGAGTTCATTGAGGAGAAATGAAGCGAGCAGAAACACGGCTAAACTCACGTGCTCTCCGGCGCCCCCTGGGACATCCTCAAACTAAAAATAGAGCCACGCGCCGCCATTTTTCTCCCACAATGCACTGCTGCCAGGCCCCTCGCACATACGCCCCGTGTCCACAGATGTGATGTAACCCCGAGCGCACGCGGGGCTAAAAATAACTCCTTTACTTTAAATAGAAATGTCAAATTAAACTCATCTGTGCCTCCGAGTGCTAACTGTCACTACCACTTTGTACTTCAAACTGCGACTTAAAATACTTGTACTTCTGCTGCTACTTACACTATACTCAAATGAACACTAAAGTAAAGTAGAACGATTTCACAGTAATCGCCACTGAACCTGGGTTGCCAGTTTGGTCACATTTATCACATTTGAAATCAAAATCTGACATTCAGTTCTTGAACATTCTAAAACCAGCCCAAAGTTGGGGTGCGTTGTGCTGTTGTGCCGTTGGGCAATGCACTAAGTGTGAGTGGAGGACACATGATGCTGTTTCTCTGTGTGTTCTTCTGAATGATTCTGTTACTTGCGCCTCACTACCTCTCTCTCCTCTGCACCCTCCCTCTTTCCTTCCCTCTATCCCTCTCCTCCCTTTCTCTCTGCCCTTGTATTGGTTCTTCTCACATCTCTCTTTCTTCTTTCTTTCAGTTTCTTTCTTTTCCCCCGAAAACTCCTACTCTCTATCTCTCATTCTCTCTTTTTCCCCTCTCTCTATCTCTCTTTCTTTACCCCTGAATGCCCCTTCTCTCTCTCTCTCTCTCTCACCTTCTCTCTCCTCCTCTCTACCTCTCTCTTTCTTTCCCTCCCAAGAACTCCCTCTCTCTCTGTCCCTCTGTGTTTCTCTCTGTCTCTCTGTGTCGCTCTCTGTGTCGCTCTCTGTGTCTCTCTCTGTGTCTCTCTCTGTGTCTCTCTCTGTGTCTCTCTCTGTGTCTCTCTCTGTCTCTCTCTCTGTGTCTCTCTCTGTGTCTCTCTCTGTCTCTCTCTGTGTCTCTCTCTGTCTCTCTCTCTCTCTCTCTGTGTGTCTCTCTGTGTCTCTCTCTGTCTCTCTCTCTGTCTCTCTCTCTGTCTCTCTCTCTGTCTCTCTCTGTCTCTCTCTCTCCACCTGAAATCCCCCCTTCTCTCTCTCTCCCTCCCCCTGTCTTTCTCTCTACCTCTATTTCTTTCCCCCCAAGAACTCTTTCCCTCTCTCTCTCTCCCCTCCGCTCTCTCTCTGCCTCTTTCTTTCCCTCTGATCCCCCTCTCGAATTCTCTCTCCTCTCTCTGCCTCTCTTTCGTTCCTGCTGACCCCCCCTCCTCTCCCCCTGTCATTCCCCCCTGAATCACACACACAGAGGAGGAGTCCGGATGTCCTGAGGCCAGGGTGGGCGATCAAAGGGAACGTCCTGAGTCAGAGCCCTGATTCCTGTCTGTTTGTGTGTGTGCTGATTTATCTCATCATGAGGACAACGATCAGCTCCATGTGAACTAAAGCCTTTATTATTAAATCAACAACAACTTCATTTAAAGGTCAAATATGGGCTCAAATAGGTTAAAGGTCATATATTACACAAAACTGACTCTTTAAGCTGAGGTAAAATGTGGTTACCTTCTTTGCTTCATTCACACGTTTCAATAAAACTTTATTATTAGTCTGTCTACATCTTCAAACCTCTAAATGCTCTGTTCCACCTTGTGATGTCATGAAGCAATAGTTGGTAAGTTAATACCATGATAAAAAGCAGTAAATAACATTGTTCTGACAAGCTGAGACTGAGGAGAGTTTATGTTATGACTAAGTAATGAAAAAGTGAGTTTGTACAAAAAATCAATGCCATAAAAACACCTCTAATATAAAAGCAATGCAGCTTTAGTCCATGCAAGAGGTAAAATTATAAAATATGTATATATAGCCAAATATTCTTAAATGGGCCGGTCAGAGTCAACCACAGGGCCGTATGTGGTCCGGGAGTCCAGGTCTGGTTTAGGAAGTCAATGTAATTTGCCCAAGAAGCATGGTAATCCAACATGTGTCCATGTTTTGGGGTAAAATCAAACTCAACCAAACTGGCAACTCCTCAGAAGGCTTCCTCGTGAATCAAGAAAAGTGGTTTTGGAAATGTATGGTATCAGAGGATTATCCCAGGCATCACATTGGTCCAATATTCACATATCAGTTAGAAAAAGAAAAAAAAACATCGGACCACCTCAAGTTTTGGATTGACATAATGTGTACAAATAACTTTTAACTGTTTTAATAGTTTTCCCTCAAACACAACAGTAATCCTGTATTACTAAGAAAAAAGCAGCACTTGCTACAAAATAAAGTAGTTCCACAGTACACGCTTTGTTTTAATAAACTGCCATGAAACCAACTTAATACTAGGGCTGGGTATCATTCAGAAGTTACCTCAATGCATAAGCCAGGATGCGATACATATCTCGATACAATGAGCTTACGTTTCGATACGATTCAATACAATTCAATACGATACATTTCAAAGTGACTTGATATGGTTCAATAAAAAATAAAGGCTAAATTGTGCCTGTGATACAAAAAGTCTTTGTTAAACCACTTCTTGTGCAAAGTGAATATGAAACGCACATATTTTAATCATCAAAACAGTGAAAATGTCAAATGTGAAAAAAGTTTCCTTCCTCTAAACAAGCAACACAACTGTAGCACTATAATAAAGCAATTTAGTAATATAAACCAAAAAATACTCTTAGTGAGATATCAATACAGCAGCCCACTATATCGATGCTGTACTATCACGATATATTGATATATAAACAATATATATCGGTATTTCAATAATTTTGCACACCCCTGCTTATTACACAGTATCTTTTTATGTCTTTACATTATAATATTTTCAGTATGTAATGTTTAGTGTTCAAAACCTTAAATTCATCTTTCTATGCTCTTTGAATGATATGGTACAAAGCATATATTAAATGTTGGTGAACACTGCCACCTGCTGGACACATGCAGAAGTGTGAGCAAATTTAAAAAGTCCTTACCTCAGAGGAGAACCTCTGTCCCATCTCGACCACGTGTGGATCTGCAGACTGTGTGTCTGCCACTGACTGACAGATCTGTAAAACAAACCAGAATAGGCCTTTGCTGTTGAATTATAGAATAATTTTTATTGGCAAAAACAAGAGTGAAACGGTTTTTGTTCCAGAAAATCTATTGATCTATCTTTTGATGGCTGGTGGGTCTTGTGAGAACTCCATTAAAAAGAGATAGGGCAGAATCACCACAAAAGTATTTCTTCAAATAAATAGTATTAAATAGAGCATATAATATATTTTGTCCTTTATTATGATTATCAAAAAAGGTGCCAAATCCTGGTTTTATATGAATAGACCCAGTAATTACAGAGATATGAACCATAAACCAGGTCAAAAATCTACAATCTGACACTTAAACACCAAATTACAATTTTTTTTTTTTGACCTGCCCTAAAGCTTTTTTAATGGGTAGTTTAGAAAAGAGATGATATGGGCCTGGTACATTCCCTTAACTCAACTGTAAAACATTCAAGTTTTATAGCAGCAAACTTACAGTTTTGTGGCAACATTTACTCTGTACTTTTGCAGTTGCCTTTGTGTCTCAGTCAAAAATATATTGTGGAGCGTGTGGTATATTTCCTGGACTCACCTGTATACAGTCGGACTCAGGCCTGTGCTGGTGTGGGCTCCGTGGGTGGATGTCAGTGAGATGTGGAGGAGGGTCTGGAGTGGTTCTTCTCATGTGTCCTTGGAGCATCTCCTGGTAATTCACACGGTCAAAGTTTGTCCTCCACACCAGAACCTGAAAATGGACAATGAAAAACAAGTCAAGAATTAATGATTTGGAAATTTGTGATAACGTGTTTTCAGTCACGACGGCAAGACAAATTCTTGCAGTTTTTGTGAGAAAGAATCTTGAACAACTCCGGCTGAATTGTTTGCATGTAATAAATTACAGAGCAGAGCTCTAAACGCACTAAAATAAACAGGCATGTGTACTTTTATTTTAGTACAAATAAGACTATTTAGTTTGTGAAAACACTCAGAGGAAAGTGCTTGTGCATTTGTGGACAGGTGAGACGTATGTGCTTTTCTCTCAACTGGATGTAACTCATGTTTGATTTTTTCAGCTTGTTCCACTGTTTTGATGCTTCCACCAATCAACTTAAAGTCTTTGTTCGAACACCCCGATCACTGGTTCTGATCACTTTCAGCGAGAGCCATTCCAGACTGATGTGTAGAACTCTATTCAGAGGGCTGGTTTGGTCCTAGTTTAGTCTTAGCATGCTACTTTTGATGACTGAAAGTATAATTTCATATCTTAATATCATTTCTTTGGTTGGCTTTGGCACGATTCTTGTCTCACCTGTGCATCAGTTCCTCCTGAAGCAAACATCTCACCAGTTCTAGAAAAAGCCACAGAGAGAACCGGCCCCTGCAAAACACAAGAAATCGACTTTTGGTGAAACTACATAAACATACATAAAATAATATAAATACAAATACCTTAGTTTTTTGCTTTTTTTTTTTTTTTTTTTTTGACCTTTTTAATTATTTTTGGCACTTTTCTTACTATGAAGACAAAGTGATTTAACTTCACTTTTCTTGAAAATGACAATTTTGATACTAAACATGGAAAGTAATTTTGACATTAACAGTAACATTTGAAATAGACCTGCCACAGGTAGCAAAATGTTTTTCCAAGTCTAAATATGATCCATAAAAGACTGAACTGTGGCGCCACCTTGTGTCCATGGAGAGTGTAGATGAGGCGTCCCTCCAGCAGATCGATTATCTTAACTGTCCTGTCGGCCGATGCACTGATTAGAAAGTGGTTTGACGGGTGAAACGCCACGCTGTGGACCTCTGCACTGTGCACTGGGACAAGAGGGGCAGAAACATGAACATTAGAGGAGCAAATCTTTTGACACAATTTAATACAAGTACAATTATTTTATTCCATCAGGCTGCTGTGTCTACAATAGTATATTACCACCAGCGTGGACAGAATGAATTATGACTACAGTGACACTTTGAGAGGCTTCCAGAAGACTGTGAAGAGCATTATAAGCTTAAGACAGTATTATTTATTGTATCAGCATTATAAGTTTAAAACCGTATTATTTATTATATCTCAGACGAGATAATCCTGAGAAGGCCTTGTACCCTGATAGTGCTGCAGCAGTTTGTTGGTCCTCAGGTCCCAGATGCTGATGGAGCTGTCAGAACCTGAGGAGGCCACACACGTCCCACTGGAGTTAAAATCCACAGAGCAGACTGGACTGCAGCAGGAAAAAAAGAAGAGAGCGTGTTTACTATCACGTGTTTCACATGAAACTTCCTCAAATAACCCACTGTGCTCTACTTTTAAATTGTATTAATGTACGCTGCGTTCCAAATTATTATGCAAATTGTGTTTAAGTGTCATAAAGGTAGCATTTTTTGTTTTCCAGTGAAACTCATGGATAGTATTGTGTTTCAGGGCTCTTTGGGTCAGTGAAATCAGTCTCAGACACCTGTGCGAATTAGTCTGCCAGGTAAGTCCAATGAAAGGAAAAACTACTTAAGGACATTCCACATTATTAAGCAGACCACCATTTTCAAGCAATATGGGAAAGAAAAAGGATCTCTCTTGTGCTGAAAAGCGTGAAATAGTTGAATACCTTGGACAAGGTATGAAAACCATAGATATTTCATTGTACATATAAGAGATTTGTAGCTGATTCAGAGCACACATAGATTTGGGCAGATAAAGGCGCAATGAGGAAGGTTTCTGTCAGACAAATACATCAGATTAAGAGAGCAGCTGCTAAAATTCCATTACAAAGCATCAAACAGGTGTTTGAAGCTGCTGGTGCATCTGGAACCCGACGAATATCAAGGTATAGGACCCTCCAGATTCAGATTCTATTCGGCCATTCTTAAACAAAGCTCACAAGCAGAAATGGCTCTAGTGGGCCCAGAAATACATGAAGACTCATTTTCAAACAGTCTTGTTCACTGATGAGTGTTGTGCAACCCTCAATGGTCTAGATGGATGGAGTGGTAGATGGTTGGTAGACGGCCACCATGTCCCAACAAGGCTGCGACATCAGCAAGGAGGTGGCAGCGTCATGTTTTGGGCTGGAATCATGGAGAGAGAGTTGGTAGGCCCTTTTAGGGACTTGAAAATTAGGATAACTGTCATTTATATTGACAATTTGGCAAAATCAGAGAATCAGAGAAAAATATAATTTGCATATTAATTTAGAACACAGTGTATTTGTCTGCATCACACTGTTGTTGTAATGTATTTCATCAACATAAGCCATCCATCTCCATATGTTTGATGGGTTTCCTCCAGGCACACTATGATTAGCTGAACAGTCCACACAGTGAGAGTGACAGAGTCTCACCCGGAGCAGCTGAAGACGTTGATGCAAAGTTTGGAGTTTGCGTCCCAGATTCGAACTGAGCGATCATCTCCACAGGAAGCCACCAGTCGCCCGTCAGGAGAGAAACTACACCAGGAAAAACAGGAGATACATTTAAGAGGACTTAGATAACATAATCTTCTTTTGGGGTTATGGGACTTTATTCAGTAGGTTGGGATCATTTGACATATTATAAACTCTGTTTTATTCATGGGCTTCAGCTTACTGTTTTTTTATTGTTTATCACTATGGCAACGGTCTTCATTTTTCATACATTCTGAGCTCTAATGGGTTAAAAGTGGTGTATCCTTGGGTTACCGAGCACAGCGGACCCAGTTGGTGTGCTGGTTGAGGGAAAAAAGGAAGCAGCGTCTCGGAACGCTCCAGACTTTAACGGAGCGGTCGTCTGATGATGTCACCAGCCGTAAAGCATCATGGGAGAAAGACACGCTGCGCACCGGGCCTGAGTGAGCTTTGAACACCGTCGACTCCCCTTTCCTGAAAAACACAACACAGAAATATATGCAAATTTGATTAAGAAATAAATTATGACAGTACAAATCCAAATCATAATAATTAGAAACAAGTATTTATGTCTCTTCTAACCATCAGCAGTTAACTTGTAGAGGAAAATGGCATGATTCCATGGAAACAGAAAGTTAAAACCACACTCCAGAACATTCTTCATGGAGATAGATGTCTTATACCATACTGTGGAATATTATAGCCAAAGGAACAACAGTTACATCAAAATGAAGAAATATAATAATAGTAATAATGCATTTTATTTAAAGGTGCCTTTCTGGGCACTCAAGGACACCAAACAAACAACAATTAAGACAAATAATGAAATAAAATCAAACAATACAGGACAGGTTCTAAAACATTAGAACTAGGGGTGTCAAATTATCGCGTTAATTGCGATTAATTAATTACAGTCATATTTAGCGCGTTATGTTTTTTAATCGCGTTAATCTCATTTTTAATCTCTAACTTTTGTGTTTCTGTATGCGAGTTGCTTTATTATAAAACCTGTTTTTATGTGTTGTTGGGACAATAACACACACACACATACACACAAAAAACACATTTATACATTATTTTATTTCGGTAATTCCACTCATTGCCGGAAACCCACACAAAACGCGCACAGTAAGAGCGATGTGAACGTCATGTTAAAGTTGGCGGCGTCAGGCACAATGGACGAGATCGTAGAGCCAGTAGAACAGAGTCAGCAGTGCACAGGTAAAAACACATTCGTGTCTTGGAAATTATTCTCCCGACGTGAAATATAAAAGAAAATAACTAATATAATATCGCCTACAACTTAAATGTCACTGGTGAAAACAACCTGCATAGGCTCATGATGTCTGCACTACTGTCCTATAGTGACCTGCCACATGAGGGGACACGCACACAAACACACACAAACACACACAAACACACACCTTCATCATCGTCATTAACCTGAGAACGCGCGGACCACGTTTCCTTCCGTAGTTACTGCGCGGACACCAACGTGCTCCCGTGAGCCGCGTGTGGATCGTGTTTTCTCGCGTACGCTGCGTAAACCCGCGCTTCCTCCTGTGCGCCTCTAAACCAGAACTAACACCAAGACTAAAACCAGGACTATCCAGTCCAGGACTAAACCAGGACTAAACCAGAACTAAAACCAGAACTAAAACCAGAACTAAAACCAGGACTAAACCAGGACTAAACCAGGACTAAACCAGGACTAAACCAGAACTAAAACCAGAACTAAAACCAGAACTAAAACCAGGTCTAAACCAGGACTAAACCAGGACCAAACCAGAACTAACACCAGGACTAACACCAGGATTAATCCATTCCAGGACTAAACTAGGACTAAAGTAGGACTAAAGCAGGTCCAAACCAGGACTAAAACCAGTGATCTCATATATAAAGCATTTCTCTATCAATAATATTTTTAATATGGTTAAGGAAAGACTGGACTTTTTATTGTCTTTAAGTAGACAAAAGTTATTATATTCAGATTTCCTCGTCTTTGCTACTTTACAGCAAACAGTTTCTTATTCATGGAGACTTGGGCTCAACAGCCAATTTGGAGAGATTTGTTAAACAATAAATGACTTTATAAAGTCACTTTTTTTGTTCTATATCAGTCTTTTGATCTGCCACAATAATGCAATAATGAATTTAAATGAAAATACCTCAAATTGAAGGCTTTTCTCAGCAATTTTTAGGTGAGATTAAAATGAGATTAATTAGATTAATTAATTACAGATCATAATTAATTAATCTCTCAATTTTTTTAATCGCATGACAGCACTAATTAGAACATTAATGGGGTAGGCTAATTTAAATAAATAGGTTTTGAGTCTGGATTTGAATGTTGGGAGTAAATCAAGATTACGGAGGTCGGGTGGAATGAACAGAGAGGAGGAGAGAGGAGGAGGAGAGGGGACAGAGAGCTGGAGAGAGGAGGAGCAGAGGGGACAGAGAGCTGGAGAGAGGAGGAGGAGAGATGAGGAGCAGAGAGGACAGAGAGATGGAGAGAGGAAGAGCAGAGGGGACAGAGAGATGGAGAGAGGTGGAGCAGAGGGGACAGAGAGATGTAGAGAAAAGGAGGAGGAAAGAGGCAGGAGCTGGAGTGTGTCATGATATGGAAGAAATCACAGAGATAGGTGGGGGCCAGATTATGAATCGATTTAAATGGGAGTAACATAATTGAGTTCAGAAGTGAACTGGAAGCCAGTGGAACTGCTGGAGGACTGGAGTGATGTGGTTGATGGAGGGTGTTCTGGTTATGATTCGGGCAGGTTTGTGGAGATGCAAGCCCACTCACAGTAAGTTATTTAAGCTTTTCAGTGCAATAAACACACACTTATTTTTTGTCTAAAAGATACGTGGTGGGGCTTTTAAGCACCATTACCACTAGATGTCACCAAAAACATCCCTATTTCCACATAAGTCACTTACATGCAGGGCGTCCACAGCCGCACAGTTCTGTCTTTGGAGCAGGAGGCCACTAAATTCCCAAAAGGACAAAACTGCAGCGCAGTGATGATGTCATTGTGTCCCACGAATCTGTACGCCCTGGATTTACGTGCCAGGTTCCAAATCATCAGACACTTATCCTCCGACCCGGACGCTAAAGGACAGAGGGGGATGAAGAGGAGCCACAGTGAATATATGGTACAGAGGAGGGACAGTGAATATATGTAGAGGAGAGGGTCAAGTGAAGCAGAGAATGCCGAGAAGAGAGTTAGATGGAGCAAAGGATTTTCTTTTACCGAGCTGGTTGCCATTTGGGTTGAAGTCTAAACACGTCACTGTGTCTTTGTGGCCTCTGAAGTGCCTCTCCAGAGCAGGGTCCTCCTTTAAGGTGAGCAGAGATTTTAGGACTTTTTTTTTTTTTTTTATGCAAAAATAAATAAGTTACACATGTTTTTCTTTATAATTACAATTTCCATTATAATTATTACTTAAAGACAAAAGTTCTACTGACTTGCAAACTAAATTAACAAAACAGGCCAATTCAATATAATTAGACATATATGTAAAAGCAGGGAATAAATGTTTTAACCTTTACAATAGTGGTAGACTGTTAGTATACTTCAAAACACTGACAATTAACATTTGCATTTTGTTTATAATCTAGTTGCATCATGATTATCTGTTAAATATATTGATAGACATTGGGTATTACTGTCAGTGGCTTGATTGTTGGCTAGCACTAACTAAACATAAAAAGACAATTATTTAAATGCATCAAAACTTATATCACAATTTCCACAACTTTCTGTGCATTTAATCTCTGCAGATGACCAACTCCAAGTAAGCCCATTTGACAGCTTCCTCAGTAAATCTTCTTAACAACACCCTCCACGCTCTCCGATTCCTCTCAAACTACAACAGCATCAACTTTACCTATAACTAACTCAGTTTGTTACTATTAAAATCAGTTTTACTCACCATAACCGAGGCCATTGCGTTTGTTTTTCTGCTGTTCCGAAGCTAAACTTTCACCATGATTCCTGTCAAACAATCCGCCTTCTACATCAGACCGAAGCTATCGAACCCCGAAAACAAGGAAATTTGTTGTTTTCTCACTTTTTGCTGAATGCATATGTTATTCCTCAATTAAATTCATACTTAATCGGTTTAAGTCTAAGCTTTTTGCTGGTGAAAAGTTCATATTTTTATCTAAAATAGTCGACTAGCCCTTGTTTGGCTTGTTGCGGGAAGTGGGACGTGATGCAGAGTTGACTGACTTATGAAAATTGTACAAGTCGAACATATATGTTACGCTAACTATAATTTTGTAATCAAACAATTCAAATAATTATCATATTTTTTATAAATTGATATTGTTAATAGATTTTATATGTTTTATTATTTTCAAAGTCGTTAATTACTTGAACAGCATTCCGTTTACTGGATGGTGAATGGTATTTTCCTGAAATTTACTGGACGTGAATGGGTCCTGTCACTTAGCAACACGCTAGGCATATCATATGATAGCACTGTAGGTTGAACTGGAACTGCGTCACATCGAAGTATCTTGAGTTCTGATTGGCTCTGCTGAACGAGCGGGCCAATCAGTGCTGAGCTTCTTGGTGTAGTCCCTGAACGTTTGGTGTTACATTTTGAAAAGATGTCGTTGAAGCAAGGGATTGGCAACGCCGAAGTAAGTTCTGACAAATGACACTAAAATGTATAAAACTACGATGAGCATATGCGTGTACAAATGTGTTATATGATGACCAGTAAGCGGAGAATGCGAAAAATAAGCGTCAGCCTAGCATCTTAGCATGTTAACCTGTTTCCATGTCAACAGAGCTGCACTGAGAGAATGGCATGCTCCCTCATTGCCCATAAAATGGATTAATTAAAACTGTAAATACATGTTACTGCTGTTAATGTCTGAGAATAGTATATCATTGTAAAATATGTGTTTATTTCTTAGGTTATTAGGTTTAATGGTGGTTTATATCCAACTCCCATTTGCAGTTTTAGTCAGCTGCATTTAAAGGTGCACTATGTAACTTTTCTGCGACCTGGAGATGTTATTGCCTTGCTTTCATTGATTCATATGGTATTCAACATATTTATATGTTTATTCAATTACCTGTTAAATACCTTGGGGAAAAAAAACACGCATTCTTGTTTTTTTTTTACTGTAAGTGGGGTCACCTCTCCACAGATCTGACATGGTGGCGTCACCTGCTTGTAAATGCAATGCTATACTGTGTAACATTCCAGGCAAAGCAATAACATCTGCATGGTGACAACCAGGTGGTGTTCTCTCCACCGGGACAGTTACATTGTGCTCTTTTTGATTTCCTTTGTTTTGCTTGATTGTTCAGATTAATACAGTAATTAATACAGTTTATATCACAAACGCAGTCTGAAATAATTATTGATTCCTTCATTGTGTGACCTGTAACAAATTTGTAGCAATTTCCATAGTTATGTTCAATAGAAAACTCATCTTACTAAACTCAACTACTACACGGGTTTTACATCTTTTGTTGTTTGGAAGTGTATGGTGATTATGGCTGGGTATCATTAAGAAGTTGCAGATATGATACATACCTTGTGCAAAGTTAATATGAAACACACCCATTTTAATCCTCAAATGAGTAAAAATGTCAATTGTGTTGCATAAATAAGTTTCCTTATTTTGAACAAGCAACAAAACTGTACCGCTGTAACACAATTATTTTTTAAAATGTACCAAAAATGCTCTTGACGATATATCGATACAGCAGTTATACCACGATATCATCATATTAAACAATACAATATATCTACATTTTTATATTTTTGCACACCCCTAATGGCGATTTGTGTGAATGTGTGCTAATGACAACACAGATATGAATTTAAAATAATGTGTCTGGATTAGATGCTGCACAAAATACTGTTCAAATATTTGTGAAGGATTCATGACACTAATAAAGGAACCAATCAAGCATAATATGTGTTCCTGTAATGTTAACTTGTTTCTTCTGTCACTTCCTCAACAGTGAAAGACCTTTAGTGAGTTCTATGATAGATAATAAATTCCATGTTTTCTTTCTTAGTATTTGAACAAAAGGGTCCCAAAGAATGCCAAGTATCAGCACATCAAATCCAAACTGGACACAGGTGAGTTCTGTAATACATCATTTACTTAAAAATGAACACATTTAACTTATAATACTAATAATAATGTTTGACCCGTGTTTAGGATGCAGCCTGTCAAAGTACATGGAGAAAATAGAGGACATGAAGAGGAGTGAGTAATTTTATAGACTGTGTTAAACAAAACTTAAACTTTTAACCATGTTTCTTCCTAACACCAAAAACATAACTGTATTTTTCCCCCTTTTATTTAAGTGTTTTAATAATCCTGCATGCTTTTTCTTTTCCAGATTACAGATACAGAAAAGATGAGATATTTAAACGACTTAAAGTGACAACATTTGTGCAACTGGTAAGTTGAAATACGGTATGTGTTCCTTATTATTATTGTTATTATCGTTATTATTATTATTATTACACAGATTAGTGCTTTTTGTCCATTTAAATATTTTTTTTGTCCACCAAAGATCGTTCAAGTGGCCTCAGTTTCAGAACTTACCTCCAGTCTGAGTGAATGTGAACTGAACACACCAGAAGGTACAAATATTTTGTGAGTTTGTGTTTATTGATATTGGCAATTTTTATTTATTTTTTTCTCTCATACCAGAAAAGTTAAGTAGTGCGACTTTAAATTGAGAATGTATCAAAGGTATATTCTCATGTTGTCTTTACCCCAGATGCCCTGTCAGTGGCGTCAGAGGAGCTAGAGTCTCTCACAGTTCGGTCCTACGACTCAAACTCGTCTCCGTCCACAGAGAGAGGGGACGCCCACACAGCCCGCTCCACTTTGCTAAGGTAATACATAACTACACATTAATTATGTTAAATGAAGGTTTAAACTGCAAGAAAAATGCCTTCTTTATGCATAAATTGTTTTGAGTTTTGAGTATTGATAGTATAGGTAGAGGTATTCTGGCCAAAACATCTTTTTTGCCCAACAGTTATGATTACAGAACTAAAAATAAACAAAAAACATCTTTGTTTTGGTAAATCAGTGTTTAGACTATCAGAAAAATGGCTTCCTTGTGCTTCCTTGTCCGATTTTTTTAAAATACAGTTTTCTGTGTTGACGATATAGGTAGAGGGATTTTGCTTTAGAGCTCATCGCATTTCCTGTATTTTACAACTTTTTGTTTTCAACTTTTTTCCACAAACTGCCACTGACTTGATGCAAAACTATGAGAAATATTGACCACAGGTACTATCTCACCAAACCAAGTCAAAATTAGAAAAACATGAAAACCTGTCACATGTACTTTAACCTAAATTTGATTAATAGCAATCCAAAAACTGAGCTTAAATTCAGCTGTCCAAATGACCCCTCACTTTGGTTTTCATGGTCTATCGATTTTACACGTAATCGTTATTACAGATGTCACAGTAGGATTGTACTGAGGTGAATAATTGATGTGAGAAAGTGTTTTGAGTCCAGGCTCTGTTTGTCTAAAGATAGAGATACAACCTGGAACATGATACCTGCTCCCGTGCTCCAGTACAACAGTACAGTAGTCTTTTGGTATTCTAGGGACAATCATACATTGTTAGTACAAGTTATTTCTGAGAAGCCTGTGTATGAAAAGTTTGATTTCAAATACTAGAAGTTAAAGTCACTATATCGGATTTTTACTGTCTTAAAGAGGAGAAATTTGACTTCTATGGGGTATTAACTGCTAACACATGTCACAATATTTAGATCACCATGTTACTTTTTACTGTTTTGAAAATTGTATATTCGCCAAAAACAATGTATTAACGTCTGTCTCCTCAGTGTGATCAGTGGAGTGGGGGAGCTGAGCACGGAGCAGAGTCCTGATCCAGAGTCCAATCCGGACTCCGACAAACCGTACAAAGACTGCCCCTATCTGCTACTCGATGTGAGGGACAGAGACCAGTACGACTCCTGCCACATCATCAGCGGTGAGGCACGGGAGGGCATCTGACACACAGGAGGAGGTTAGGGGATCTGACACACAGAGCATGTTAATTGTTGTTTCTGTTTATATTTAGCTCACAGTTTCCCCATCGCATTTCTGTCTCGGACCATGAACCCCTACACCAAAGAAGTGCTGGAATATGTATCCTTACTCTAAACCGGGGGGGAGGGGGGACTTATCTCATGTGAAACAGAAAATATTGTGGAGGGCTGGACCAAAATGTTTAGCTCAATTCTGCATAATATGAATTTCTTTATAAAAAGCAGTGAATAGCATTGTTATGACGAGCTGGTCAGGCTGGTAAGAGTTTATGTTGTGACTAAGCAATGAAAAAGTGAGGTTGCCTTACAAAAAAAAAAACATGTCTAAAATAAAAGCAAAGCAGCTTTAGTCCATGCATGAGGTAAAATGATAAAATATGTTTATTTTGTAATTCCAAATTAGCCTAAACGGGCCAGTCGGAGTCAACCAAAGGGCCAGAGCTCGACAATGCTAGCCTGATTCATCAGCCAGTTTGAATTGTAGAAAAGGTCTGACCTCGCAGCGTTGGAATTCTTTCTCTTGACGGTAGGTGGGTACTTTTGTGTCATTTATCCAATCGCTGCTACTTGGTTGTGACGTATGTAATGCGCAACTATTCGGGGCTAACTGGTATATTAAGCTTTTCCCAAATCCCGTAGGAAGAAGGGCAATAACGTCTTTCCCCTTGATGAAATTCACCAAACATTCTCTTTATTCTGGCTTTAAACCCTTGATCTCTGGAAACGCTGATAACACTGAATATATGGGTCTTCACTGATTGGCTGGTGCCCAAACTTGCAGTCCCGGGGTTTTTGCGAACCGTCTTTTGTATTTTGATTCATGGCCTAGTTGCTGGAGAGAAATTAAATTGAGCGGACGCACTAGGTGGCACCAGCCTGGCTAGTACAATGCCCAAGTCTGCTCCAAACTTTTAACACTTTTTTACACAATAACGTCTTTACAACCTTGTCAAACTCTCTCAAAGTGCTACAGTGTAGTCATTATCATTCACTCTACACTCTGTGATGGTAAACTACAGCCAGTCTGTGCTACCACCATCAACACATACCACGTTCATACTAGGCAATGTGGCTGAAGTGTCTTGCCTAAGGACACAACAACAAGTACAAGTGTGAATTGAAACTCCGAACTTCAGGGTGGTGCACGAGTGCCCTAACGATTAAGCCGTTGTCTCCACAAACATGCTAATATTAGATGCTAATCAAAATAATGATAGATTACAAGATAAATAATACAATTAAACAATAAACAATAACATAATTTATTTATAAGCACCTTTCAAACACCCAAGGTCACTTTACATTGAATAAACACTATAACAACAGCAACTGGTGGTTTTCAGATTCCAGAATGTGATGATGCCTTATTTCCAGATGAGGGGGCAAAAGATGTTTTTTCCTATTAATTATATTGTATTTTGCTATGAAGTATCAGAAAGGTAAATTCCCATTTATTGAACCTGATCATTTCAACTACTGACTAGAACCCAGACCATGCTATATTACAACAAAAATCTGCAGTTGAACAATATTCATTTTAGCTGCCCCCTTCTGTAATATTAGTAATAATATAAGTAATATTGGCCTATAAAATGCTGTGATGTCATCTGAAACCCAGCAGTTATTACAATTATGAGAACATTAAACAGAATAAGATCATCTAAAAAAAAAAAGTGTTTTTGAGGTGGGACTTGAAAGCACAGTTGTATTTGTATTGTCTCCTGTTCTCACACTTCCTGTCTGTCTGTCAGTATGTCTGTGTCAAACATGTTTGCTCCTTGACCTGGTGTTGTGCAGAAAAATGCTCCTGGTAAAATCATCATAGTTTATGACGAGGACGAGAGGATCGCCAGTCAGGCCGCCAGCATCATGTGTCAGAGGGGCTTTGAGAACCTTTTCATGTTATCTGGAGGTATGTACATACTCTTTTCCACTAGCACGGTTCATCTGGTGCTGCATGGTGTGAGTCTGTTTGGACCAGCTCTATCCAACTTGTGTGTAAGATGACATCACAGGAAATACACTGGATTATCACAAGATCCAGTCAGAGTTTGGTGAAAATGTATTACTGTATTTTCCACACTATAGGACACTCTGGTTTATAAGGTGCACTGTCATTGAATGGTCTATTTTCAAACTTTTTACACATATAAACTGCACCAGACTATAAGGTGCATTAAACGAAACACAGCAGTTAGATAAGTCAGTCAAACTTTATTTAACTCGTTCACAGTAACTCTCAACTTTGTTCAATTGTAACACGCGTAAAAAAAATACTGAGACGCTAAATTGTTAGTGTATTCACAATAACTCATAATTTTTCAAACAATTGGGCGATTATGTCATCCAGCACGGCCCACATCCCTCTCGTCATTATCCGAGTCATTGTGGTTACTGTTACCTGGCAGTTCAGTGATGATTCTGGTCTTGGTGAAAGCAAGGCAGGCATCCACGATCCATTGTCAGATTGTGGCGTAAGTCGCTCGGCGCTGTCTCCCTGTCTCTGTGAATGTGTGTTCGCCTTCTCTCATTCACTGCTCCCACGCAGCTCACACTTTAACTTTATAATAGCCTTGAGTTTAAAGTGGGCGTTGTGAGTGTGTCTCTTGACAGGTGCATTTTGATATTAAAAGGAATCACAGTATGTTTTACTCCGCAATGCTCCTGACTACGGTAGCCGTAATTCTGCAAGTGTAGCGACTTTGTAGTTTACTAAAGTCGTACTAAGACACCCGAATTAATTCATATATAAGGCACTCTGGATTATAAGACGTGCAGTCCTTTTTTTTATTAAATTAAAGGCTTTTAAGTGCGCCCTATAGTGCAGAAAATATGGTACTTTGTGTACGATTATATCAGATTTTTGTCTCTTGTTTTTGTCTGAGTCTGCACTCTCCCTTGTCCAATCATCTTGTTTCATTGTGTAGGCACTATATTCTCAGACTCCAACACCCTAAACATTATTCAAATTTTTGCTATATTGTCAAAAACTTGCACAGTGACCCTAAAACATGACTAAACTGGCCTGAATATTGCACTGTGTGTGAATGTTCATCTTAAGTTTGTACGTTTAAGTCTGTTCTTTCACCCTTCAAACAGGTCTGAAGGTGTTGTCTCAGAAGTTCCCTGGGTCTCTTGTCTCTGGCCCTCTCCCTCCTCTCTGCTTCACCCGCTCAGACTCAGTGAGGGGCAGGAGAGTGGCGCCCCCCTCTGGTCACACGCGGGCAGAGCAGCGCTGGAGATTCACCGCAGACGAACTGAACAGACTCACAGATCAGCTGGAGGAGGTTCTAGTGCCCAGCAACAACTCCAGTCAGTTTAAGATGTTTCTCTCCAGTTTATTAATACTTTGTAGTGTAGGGGGGGTTCTGCATGTATGTATATGGCGGAAGTGTCTGTGTAGACTGGTGTATGAATGTGTTTGTGAATGGGTGAGCTGTTCCTTGATGTAAAGCGCTTGGTGGAAAAGTACTGTATAAAAATGTGACCACAGAAACGGTAAATCTCCTAAGCAGACCAAACTAATCTTGGTGTATAACTGTGTTGTTTGCTTATCCAGGTCGGATGTCCAGCCGTATCTCCTCTGTGAGTTCTCAGAGCGCCCGCAGTCGTCACAGCTCCTCTTCCTGCAGCAGTCGTCCCTGGAAGTGACCCGCCGCCTCCTCATCCACAAATACTCACTTGAAAACTGTTTCTGATCCTGGTCTAATATGAAGGACACAACAGCACTAAATAAGACCAGTAATCCTGGATTATACTGGAGTGCTCAGTAAATATCAGTTTGCACCTTCCCCCTATCCCCAACCACAACCTGTACTTATATGGCTTTGTTTTAAAGGTGCATTGTTCTGGTGTAGGGTCCGTCAAATTCTTTTCTCCGTGGAGATATTATTGCGTTGCCTGGAATGTTTCACAGTATGGCATTAAAACCCTTCTATCTTCATGGAGAACAAACCAGACCAAGTTACAGGTCACATTTCTCTAGATGTTTTTTAGCATTAGAAACATCTTTACAACACATGATACTTTCTTGTAGCTCAAATTCCCTTTTAAACATGCTTTTGCTCACCTTGGGATAACTGCTACACCTCTGTTTCCAACAAGACAAACTAAATACAACTCCAGGTATGTTTTAACATTAATTTTGCGTAATATGTAGACACCAAGTAATGCAAAAATAATGCCAGCCAATTTTGAAAAACAACAAACCTGGCTGCGTTATGGTGAAATGCTACTACGACGAGGTGCGTGAATCAGTTTTTCAAAGCCAATGGTCCAGTTTCTATTATGAAGTTGTTTTAGATCAATATTGCTGGTTACAATTCACAGAATGTTAAATTAATGATCTAAATGTTTGAAATTAACTCTAAAAGTAAAGTATGCATTTTTCAAAGACCCTCTACCTGATTTCTTTCCCATGTAATTGAGCAGAATTTGTCTTGCCCAATTATAAATGGCCCTATCTTGCCACCAGTCTTTGAGCGAGCACAAGTGTTAACAAGGGGGCATGTCCAGGTCGGGCTGTACTTGGCCGCTGGGAACAAAAAAAAAGGCTTTTTCTGCCTTGAATATGTTACACGTAATGTTCTTCAGTGCACTAGTTTGATATTTACTGTTACAATTCTTGCAATACATGCATCACGAATTTCGGACTTCCGTCATTGTGCAATGCATACTGGGAAGGATTTTCCCAAAAAGTGAGCATCAAACTGCCATGTTTGTTTTCCCAGTGGCATACGTCTATTGACAAAGCCAGTCTTTTCTAGTCTTTTGAACCATATCGTTTTTGTTTCTGATTCTGATATTGTCATATTTTAGTTTTGGGATTCGGACATCGTAATTGTGTGATTGTTGGATGTCCTAACAGTGGAAACGGCTCAAGAAACGGGCTTCGGAAAGTTTGTGAACCCCATAAATGCAAAAGGGAATCAGATCTGTGTGACTGCAAATCTCCATTCAAACTGTCTCCCTTCCCAACAGAAAAATAGTGAAAGGCGAAAGCGATGGGCACTATTGATCCACAGCAAGGACGGAAAAGGAAACTTTTGCCTAAGAAATCATCCTGAGTTTGCAGCGAACATTTTGTATGTGGAGCACTCAACCTTGGTTAAGAATTTAAAAAGTCAACGCCAAAGCGAAAGGCACCAGCTGTTCACCAAGAAACACCTTCCATTGCAAAGAGACCAAGACTTAATGTTGCTGTAAAACCACAAGAACAAGAAAGTGCAAGCTTGGCCTGTTTGTCTTCTGCACCTCTCACTTAACAAACGGGATCCCGCTTTGATGGTTCTCCACATACAAAATGTTCGCTGCAAACTCAGGATGATTTAGGCAGTCAAAAGTTTCCTTTTTGTCCTTCCTGTAGATCAATACTGCCCATTGCTTTCGCATTTCACTATTTTTCAATTCCATTGGGAAAGGAAACAGTTTGAACAGAGGTTTGGAGTCACACACATCTGATTCCCTTTTGCATTTATGGAGTTCGCAAACACATTTCTCGACCCGTTTTCCACTGTTAGGACATCCAACAACCACACAATTACATTGTCCAAATCCCATAACTAAAATATGACAATATTAGAATCAGAAACAAAAGTGATATGGTTCAAAAGACTAGAAAAGATCGACTTTGTAAATAGACGCATCTCACTGGGTAAACAAACATGGCAGTTTGATGCTCACTTTTTCAGAAAATTCTTCCCAGGATGCATTGCACAATGATCGGAAGTTCGAAATTTATGATGCATGTATTCACTGAACGTGCCTCACCACGCCCTCAGTCAGCCCCACTCCATCCGATATTCAGGCACGCGCTAAAACCACACGCTAAAGCTGGATGCAAAGTGTCTTTATCATTCAATAATCAGGAATTGTGTGTTGGCATACTAGTTGTTGCTGCAAGAGGTACTTTCACAGCAAAACTCCATTCTGGTCTCAGAGTTGTTAAAAGCAGTCAAACTCATCCTGGTGAATAATTAGGATGCTCTGAATGCGTAAGGTAAGTGAGGAATAACTTTGGGCGAATGCAAACTTTTTAAAATGAACTAGTTCTGTTTTTCACATTTTTAAGACAGTAAAAATCAGGTACAGCGCCTTTAAAGAGTATCTATAGATTCTAATAATGCTCATATGACCATTACAAAGCAAATTAAATGTTACACAATGTGACATAGAACAGGTACTAAATCACATTTCACATTTAGCAATCATTAATATAAATATAACAATAACAGAAGTGGTACCTTGACAACTCTGACTATTGTTTTTGCACATTTCCATATGAATGAATACCTGACCTCACTGTTTCATCACGTCAAATAAAAGTGAACTGTAAAAACTGTACAAAATTATAGTTTCTGCTGTTGCCAGATGAACCTGTATTTTTGTAATTTATTCAACACATTTTTCACAATCATCTCATGCATTTTTGTGTTTGTTTGTGACCAACTTTTACATGGTCATTTCCATTTGACTGAAACATTGATCAAAAATTTGCTGTCATTCTTTTTTGGTTTACTATATTTCCGTGGTCAGTATTTGTTACGAAAAAGTTTGAAGTGATTTTTACCAGCGTGTGCTCTACTCGATGGGCTCAAAATGTCTTGTTTGAATGAGTGGTTTGAATGTGAATAAATTAATGTTTTTGTTTTAAAATGAGTTATTTCTCTGTTGTATAATTCCTCAAATGGTTTTTCCTCACGACATTAAGTAAAAGAATGTATTGTTCTTAGTACATCCAACTACTTTTTTCTGTTAAATGTCTTATTGATATTTTTAAGTAACAACCAAGAGAGATCAACAACATGATTTAAAGTGAAAGAGGTATTAATTATTAATTGTTAATTCAGAAGGATCTGGAACTGGACCACAGAGCGTGAAAAATCTCCATCCAAATTTTAGAAGATCCGACCAGAGTCATAGCACATGTCTCTCAAATGTGGAAGACATCCCCTTTCCAAAATTCTCATAAAATTCAGAACAAAATACAGTATAATGTCTGCGGTTCAGGGCTTCTGTAGATTAGTGCTGTGTACCTTTACAACACATCATTTCCTAAACAGATGTTCCCAGCACTACAACAGGACGCCTATGTACAATTCAGGAGTGTTACACCAAAACATCTGTTGGTTTCCTCAAAGAGTAGACATAATTTACAATAGCTGAGTAATCAAATCAAGCATTTTGTTGAGTTGAAGCTGTGTGTTAAATATTCAGAGTGTTTTCTTAGCTTCTGAAAGTGCCTTCATACTCCATGAATGCTCTGCATGTATGTGAACACCACATTTTCAAAAATTCATTTTGCAAAAATAAGGCAGAACACCACCACAAATGTTAGATTTGTTAAAAACAGACATCTAGTCTTTGGTGCTGTCATTTTTTTTGATATAACATGGTAAAGATGGCACCAAATGTATTTTTTCCATTTTTAACACTTAGAATCTTGTAGAGCGTTCATCACACAGGCTCAGTTTTAAAATACAAAGTACACAGTGTGTGGGAAGGTGTATGTTCAATATCAAACCTCTGTCTTTGAAAATGCACTTTCCACAGTCCTTCAAAGATGCCCTCATATTTGAAGAGTCGAATTTTTGAGCAAATTCAAGTCCCCTGTGATAAATCTGTGATAAACCAAAAGCACATGTGTAAAAGTCCAGATTCTACAAGTACATTTGTCAAATTTTAACTCTGGAAAATTTGAAGGACCGACCTTAAATAGTTTTTTAGATACAGTAATCTGAAAGTGGCTCCTTGGAAAATTCTGCTCAAAACAGGTCAGGGGGAGTTGACAAAATACTTTTTAATGACAAAACTATAACAGGTTATAAGGAGCTAAAATTTTGAACTTTTTCTATTGAAAAGTGTATGAATCTCTTAGAATTTTTTCAGTCCAATCTGAGATGGTTGGGTGAGGGCATTCGGAGATTTGGCGTGGAATAGCTCATTTAGAAAAGTTAAAATATAAAAAAATTTGAACAATTGCAGGTTTAGGTTAGGTTTTAGGGTTTAGGGTTTGAATTAAGTTAGGGATTAGGGGTCAGGGCTAGGTTATGGGTTAGAGCAGAGGTCTTCAACAGGAGGTCATGATCCCAAAGGGGGTCGCAGAGGCACTGCAGAGGGTGCACGAAATCTTTGGTTGATTAAACTTTTTTTCTTTTTTTTTTTAAATATTTCTTAATTTTTGAAGTTTGCGGATGAACTGGTTTTCAGTGGGTTCTGTGTTTGCTCCTTCTTCGTCTGTCTCTCTCATCATCCCCTCATCTCTCGCTCCCTGTCAAACTGCAAACACATCGTTTTTTCTACTCCACTACATTTTGAACAGGAGTGAAAGTATGTTTTTGTTATTGTTTGAGACAAGCTGAAAAGGTTGAGGGGTTTATTTATATCAAGTTCATAATTGGGGCAAACAAAAATATACTAATTAAAACAGCTAGCCTTGAAAATACAATTAATTTGTTTGTTCCTGAAAAACAAAATTCAGCATAAATCTCTATCAAAATCATCATCATCATCTTCATATGTAAAATCACAATTAAAAAGACACATTCTCTTCACATATCTTTTATTTGAAGTTTTGAACCCTCAGTTTACTTAGGAGTTGTTCTTGGCGTGGCTCATGAGCACAAGCATAGCCTCCCACGTCTCCGCAGCTGTGGGGATGATCTGAGTGGCTGGCAGGAGGAAACCATATCTGCCTGTGTCTCTCAGCTCAAAAGTGTAAGAGTATTTGATGCCCACGTTATAGGTCCAGTCAATGGTGCCACCGCTAGCTTGGTCTGCAATCAGAGGAAAGGGATTATTTATAAGTGAACTTGCAGGTATTGTTAAAGGGCTGTGCCATTTTTTTTTTTTTTTTTTTTTTTTACATGTAATTTCCATGGTTTTGTTCTAGTACTGATATAGTGTAAAAGCAGCTGTGACATCACTATGGGGGTGATCTACATCTATCTTTATTGGTGGAATGTTCATCAGTTACCATGGAAAACAAAATGGATTTAAACAGCACATTTTCAGGAGCTTCTGATCAGTACAAGAGTTCAAGATGCTGTTTGATTTTCAACAAAAAGCTGAGAGTGACTAAATCAGTCTCAGATTACCTCCCATGTTGTAGTTCCAGCCAAGTCAGATTGTGTTAAAACAAAGCTCATGTTCAAGTCTGACTTGAGTAACAGAGCAGTGCTTTCAGTAGATGTAGATAACATCAGCTGCAAAGTACCAATGACAGTAATGGAACAAATCTATAAAACTCTACAAAACCGGAGCCATACCTCTCTCCATCTTTGCACTAAACACAAGTGGAGTTAATAGGATTGACTGAGAGTCAGGAGGAGCAGGACCATGCCTCAGACTCTCCTGGCTCCTCTCCAGTGTCCACAGCTCAGATCAACCACACCTTCAGTTATCCAAAAGCACTATTTAGACAGGCCTATCCCAACAGCAGTGTTTGTCTCTCTCGTCCCCCTCCCTCCAGCCCTGTGTCTCTTGTTCATCCTTCAGCCTGAGACTTCATCTGCAAAGGAGGGTGAGTCCTGAATCAGCTGGGGTGACCACCTGAGACAGAGCCCCTCTCTTGAGTCTCGTCCCGGCTATGACATCTATCAATCGTCCATAAATCTCTTTGCTCGTGAATACATACTACATATATCTACATAGTTTGTACTCACTTCTCCTGATGTAAATGTGTGTGTTATTGTAGTTGAGTATATAGTATTGTAGAGTATTGTAGTACTCACAGATGACGTTGATGATGCTGCCGTACTTGTACCTGGTTCCATAGACAGCGGTCAGAGCGTTGACGGCCTTCTCAGCCAGAGCGTGCTGAGGACACACAGATTACAAAACAGTTGTAGTAGTAGTAGAAGTAGTAGTACGTGTATCTGTTCAAGTACATGAGCACTAGTTTTTTTGGGTCAGCTTAGACTACAAAACTTCACAAAGATACCTTATCCTGTCTCCCTGATCTTAGGTGGATGAGCCAGTCAGAGAAGTACATTGTCTATTTGTGTCAAAACAATCATGGCGGCTAAGGGTGAAAAAGGACAAAAAATAACCCAGAAAAATAAAAAGTGTTTGAGAGTGCTCTTGGTGTACATGTTTATAAGTAGTGACAGCAGCATTAGTAACAGTAGCAGCAGTAGTAGTAGTACCAGTATGTCTGTCATGATAACACATTTTGAAGCACGATATATCACAACAGAGAAATATTGTGATACACGATAATGCTGAAATTACTTCATGCCACTATCACAAAGCAGGATAATCCCAGTAAACCAGTGCTTCTCAAATAGTGGGGCTCCGTCAAGGGGGGCGCGTTTGACCTCGGGGAACATGCTTTTTTATTTTTTTATTTTGATTTTTTTTTACTGTCCTAGAATAAAGTGCAATTGCACTTCCACTACGTTAGGGGGCAGTGGCGCTCTCATTGGCAGAGTGTGTGCAGGGAGCATTCGCTCGGTGGTGTAGGAGTTTTTTTTTGCACTGAGCATGCGTGCTTTGCACACAGCACAGAGTTTGAGTATGAAGTGTAGACACGAAGTGTAGCAGACCCTCAAGTGACACCATGAAAAAATATTTAACAGGGATGAGAAGACAGGCGGAGAGAGACGGAGATAAAGAGACAAACGAAAATCTCCCGAAAGCTAAGACGAGGAAATATGACGAAGCGTATGTAGCGCTTGGCTTCACTGTGACTACGGTGGGAGACGAGGAAAGACCGGTGTGCTTACTGTTGGTTAATGTTGGTGATCAGTTTGAATGCATTATTATTTATTGATTTTATGTAATTTTATTTTTCAGTATCCTATGGTTTGACATGGTCAGTCAAAAAAATTTTATAGTTTAAATAAGGATTTAATTTTATTTTTGAATTTCAGATGCACTTTAAATCTTTTCTGTTACAGTTAATAAAGCTGTTCTTTGTTGTCAGTTGGTCCATATTTCTTTTTTTTATTCTCTTATACGTTAATAAGGATACAGTGTTATGCAGAGGTGTACTTATAACAATTTTATAGACAAATGATACTATTTATAGTCACGCGGGGGGCGCGAGATGTTTTATTCTTCCTAGGGGGGGCATGACAGAAAATAATTGAGAAGCACTAGTAAACCAAATTTGAAATACACTGTATCATTATAAGTCATGATCTGCAAAAATAAATGGCCGAATGAACTAATAATTAGCCATAAAAGTTGTTTATTCAACCCTTGACAGGTCAAATCTTACATTACATAAAAATTACAAACATTTCTCTACTTTTGCAAAGAAACTGTGCACATGATAAATATTGAGCCCCAAAATATATTGTTCCATCTTTCATATATTTAACGATAAGTCGATATAGTAATTATCGTGACAGGCCATAGTAATAGTCATAGTAGTAGTTTAATAGTAATAGTAAAAGTAATAGTAATAGTACTCACCAGCTCAGCCTGGTCCTTCACTGGAGTAGCGGTGTACCCGTAGGGGTACATGAGCATCTGGGAGTAGGCGTGGATGGAGACAAACTCTTTGATGTTTCCGTGTTGCAGAACAAAGTCCACAATGGCCTTCACCTCAGACTCAGAGTGAGGGCTGGGGCCACGGTAAGTCTCAGTGCAGGGACTGGAACTGGACCCAGGACCTGGATCAGAGACAAACAGGGATTGGACCAGAGACAAGACCAAACACCAGAGAGTCCAGGGTTTAGACCAGAAAGAGACCAGATGTAAACTATACCAAAGACCAGAGAGGCCAGGGTTTAGACCAGAGAGGGACCAGAAACAAAACCAGAGACTAGACCAGAAACCAGAGAGACAAGACCAGAGACCAGAGAGACCAGACCAGAGACAAGACCAGAGACCAGATAGACCAGACCAGAGACAAGACCAGAGACCAAAGAGACTAGACCAGAGACAAGACCAGAGACCAAAGAGACTACACCAGAGACAAGACCAGAGACCAAAGAGACTACACCAGAGACAAGACCAGAGACCAAAGAGACTAGACCAGAGACAAGACCAGAAACCCGATAGACCAGACCAGAGACAAGACCAGAGACCAGAGAGACTAGACCAGAGACAAGACCAGAGATCAGAGAGACCAGGGTTTAGACCAGAGAGAGACTAGAGACCAGACCAACCAGGTTTAAACTAGTTTAGACCAAAGTCCAGAGAGAGACCAGAGACAGAACCAAATTTAGAACTAAACCTGGACCGTAAAAGGACTAAACCGGGACTCAAACCAGATCAAACCAGGCCTATGAGGATTAAAATGAGCTAAGGACACTCAAAGCTCTTAACTGCATCATATAGTCATTTCACATACGGTGGTTGTCAGCTCCAAATGCAGCCACAGCTGCCCTGGGACAGACACAGGCTCCCTCCCACCAACATTCACACACACGCACACACAAGCACACACACGCACACACACACACCACATTCATACTAGTATAATGTCAATAAGGTGTGACCACAAGGAAAATAATATGAGTTCACCTCCGAATCCAGCGTCCCAGTTCCTGTTGGGGTCGACTCCCACACAGCTGGATCCGGGGTTGGGCTTCCTGGTCTTACGCCACATGCGGTTCTGCACAGAATGAACAATTATTATTTATGAAATGATTTATTTAATCACTGAATTTGACTGTGAATGGGTGTGTGTTCCTTAGGAGTAAGACTGGGTTTTAGCTCAGGTTAGATTGTGATTAGACTACTAGAGAGACCTTACGTAACCTTAGACCTTATGTAAGGCTCAGGCATGTAAAATGGAGGTACTTACAGAAGAGTGTAGCTTATGATGGTATTGTTAAATTAAAGTGTACTGACAGAGGAGTGGGTGTAGGTTAAGTAAGATGGAGGTACTGCAGCAAGATTGTATGTAGATAATGTAAGGTGTAGTTACTCACAGAGGGTGTAGGTTAAGTAAGATGGAGGTCAGGTGGGTGAGACATGGGTGAAGGTAATGTAAAATCTAGTTAGTAACAGAGGAGTGGGTGTAGGTTTTGTAAAATGGAGCGACTCACAGAAGAGTAGTGTAGCTAATGTAAGGTGTATTTACTGACACAGGAATGGTTGTAGGTAAGGTAAAGGTAAAATTAAATTACTCACATTACTGTGGGTGAACTGATATCCATCGGGGTTGGTGACAATCTCCAGGAAGATGTCCATTTTGTCCAGGATGGAGGTGAGGACGGTCTCTTTTCCATAATCCTGGGCGATCTGAGAAAAGACGAGGAGAAGATGGTATACTAGAAGGTGAAAAATAGTATCACTAATGTCTGTGTAACCCCTCAGTCATACAGATGGGTTCCATTGCAAGAAAATTGAGTTCTGTTAGGTTTTTAAGAGTGAATAGGAGAGGCTTTTTTAGTTCCGTCATCTGTCTCTAACTTATATATGTTTGAAAGGAGGAGCAAACTAGCCTGATTCATCAGCCAGTTTCACTTTGTGGAAAATGTCTGACCTCGCAGCATTAGGATTCATTCACAAGACGGTAGGCAGGTACTTTTTTATTTAACCAATTGCTGCTATTTGGTCGTGACATATGTAATGTGCCAAATCCCTTAGGAAGAAGGGCAATAATGTCTTTCCCCTTGATAAAATTCACCAAACATTCTCTTTAAATCCTCGATCTTTGTTTACTGTTGTGCTGTACCACAAGAGTCAGACAGGCTCTTGAGTTTGACATCACTTCACAGCTCTTTGCTGATTGGCCGGTGCATGGTCTATAACTTCTAGGGTTCTTGCAAACCATCTAATGTATTCTGATTCCTGACCTGTCGCTGGAGAGAAATGAAATTGAGCGGAGGCACTAGATGGTGCCAACCTGGCTAGGAGCTAACTACACTGAAACTACCTAAACTGATATTTAACAAAATGACTTGCAGAACGCAGTTAGAAATGAGGAAGCTACTTGGATGAGTGACAAAATGTATTCACTCTTAAAATCTTCGTGCAGTTGACAGATTTCTGTTTTCTTTGGCAATGACCATAATGCCATAATTTCTTTCAGCTTGCTGTTATTGTCGATATTTTGAGGACTAATTTTGACAATTGAAATTTCCAACTTAGTTTGTGCTGAAAATACTTTGAACTTGGAGGCAGTTGTTTCATGTGAATAGGCTCAGTATTTACAGAGATCTTAGTTAATGAGATGTACCTTCTTGGCGAACCAGGTTCCGCTGGCCTGAGTGACCCATTCTCTGGAGTGAATTCCGGTGTCGATCCAGATGGCGGGGCGGTTGGTTCCTCCGGTGCTGAACTGAATAGACATAAAAACACAATTTTTAAAATTATTGTTTCATCATTTTTATATTATTTGAAGTGGTTTCAGTTTTTGTTTTTCACCTTGAGCACGCTGAGAGGGCGTCCTTCGTAGCTCTGTCCGATCACGAGCTTACTGACCAGGTTGGGGTACTCAGAGACCAGCATGTCCTGGAAACTGTACAGCTGCAAGCAGGACAGAAACAGGAAGAATTACACAAATCATATAATACACAGTAACTTATCTCAGGTCTTAAGCTACATTCAACACAAAAACACCTCTAGTTGGTTGCCTTTGCCTTTGAGATCAGATGCTTGAAAAATGTAGAATTTCATCAAATGTTCAGTTTTTCGAACTCCGCTGTTTGACGAATGCTCAAGAATCACCTGATCAAATGTTTGAAACGCATTGTAGAAACTTTGGACTAGTCTAAAAATAAAATAATTGGTCAGCTTGGACCACAACTGTAGAGTGTGGTGTGTGAGTGATTGGAAGGGCTGATGGTGCAGAATGTTGTTCCTTCAGAAATGGCATGGTATCTATTTTTGTTGTTTCACATGTTGTTTACCTCAGAGATGGGGTGGTAATGCTTTTTGTTGTTTTTTTACATGTCAGTAGCTGTTGTTGTTTACTTGTTTACCTCAGAAAGAGTGCGGTAGCTGTTGATGCTTACTTGTTTACCTCATCAAGGGTGTGGTATCTGGCGTAGTCAAAGCTGTCTGTGTTTTTGGCTGCACCAGCACGAGCAGCGGACTCCATCTCCTTCTGCTCCTCGTCCAAAATGGCCTGAGCAAAATCAAGAACAGAGATACAGGATTTTGAGCTAAAGGAACAAAATCACACAAATGTTACTTACTATCCATGCTATAGTGTTGTGAGATTTCTCAGTACAGTAAAATGGCAAAACTGAAGTGTAATGAAGTGCTTTGTTGTAGTTGATTCTGTACCTGCAGGTCCTCGATCATGGTCTCAAAGCTGATCTCCCATGAGTCCAGATACTCTTTGACCTGGTCCAAGGTCTCAGCTGGGACTCTGATGTCGACGGGAGAGGACACATCGGTCACATCTCTCCAGAAGTCCAGCTGGGAAACAAATACAAGACTTATGATTCATGACTTGGTTGGTTTTCAAGTTTTCAAGGCTCAAACAGTGAGAGATACAGGACGACACAGATAATGTGTCAAAGATAATACTCCCTACATCTGTACAACAACTCACCCTTATGTAACAGATAATACTCCCTACAACTGTACAACAGCTCACCCTTTTGTAACAGATAATACTCCCTACAACAGTACAACAACTCACCCTTATGTAACAGATAATACTCCCTACAACAGTACAACAACTTACTCTTATGGAACAGATAATACTCCCTACAACTAGTACAGCAACTCACTCGTATGTAAGAGACAATACTCCCTACAACTGCACAACAACTCACTCTTATGGAACAGATAATACTCCCTACAATAGTACAACAACTCAGTCTTATAGAGCAGATAATACTCCCTACAACTGTACAACAACTCACCCTTATGTGACATATAATACTCCCTACAACTGTACAACAACTCACTCTTATGTAACAGATAATACTCCCTACAACTGTACAACAACTCACCCTTATGTAACAGATAATACTCCCTACAATAGTACAACAACTCAGTCTTATAGAGCAGATAATACTCCCTACAACTGTACAACAACTCACTCTTATGTAACAGATAATACTCCCTACAACTGTACAACAACTCACTCTTATGTAACAGATAATACTCCCTACAACTGTACAACAACTCACTGTTATGTAACAGATAATACTCCCTACAACTGTACAACAACTCACCCTTATGTAACAGATAATACTCCCTACAACTGTACAACAGCTCATCCTTTTGTAACAGATAATACTCCCTACAACAGTACAACAACTCACCCTTATGTAACAGATAATACTCCCTACAACAGTACAACAACTTACTCTTATGGAACAGATAATACTCCTTACAACTGTACAGCAACTCACTCGTATGTAATAGATAATACTCCCTACAACTGCACAACAACTCACTCTTATGGAACAGATAATACTCCCTACAATAGTACAACAACTCAGTCTTATAGAACAGATAATACTCCCTACAACTGTACAACAACTCACCCTTATGTGACATATAATACTCCCTACAACTGTACAACAACTCAGTCTTATGGAACAGATAATACTCCCTACAACTGTACAACAACTCACCCTTATGTCAAAGATAATACTCCCTACAACTGCACAACAACTCACCCTCATGTGACATATAATACTCCCTACAACTGTACAACAACTCACTCTTATGGAACAGATAATACTCCCTACAACTGTACAACAACTAACCCTTATGTTTCTGTCATCATATCATCTTTGTGCTGTTTCCTTATGACCTCTTGTATATAACTGCGATATACTGTATTTATATAACTATATTTATATCTTTTTGCTTTACTTATACATACATATAATTATGCATTATTTGACTGTCTCTTACTATTTTTCCTACTTATGTAGAATGTCTTTATCTTTTTTCTATTAGTTATTATATTATATTGTGATGTGTGAGCTTCTGTGTCCAAATAATTGCCCTTGTGGATAAGAAAAGTTCATCTTAGTTTGGTGGGATAATACCTGTGGAAAATATGACTCAGGTTTCATGTGGCCGTTTGTGAAGAAAAGTTGGGGAAAAGTAGCACTGAGTTCTGTGGAAACACTTTCAGGCTGTACTGATTCTCTTCATAGTAGGGGTGTGCAAACATATCGTGATACTAAATTTGGTGATACAGTATCGTTATTATGAGCTGCTATATTGAGTATTTTTATTTATTTAAAAAAAAAATTGTGACTTTTGTTGCTTATTTAGTGGAAGGAGTGGAAGCTAATATGAAATACATGTAGTGGTTTAACAAGAAATACTGTTGCTAAAATGTATTTGCAGCAGTTTATTAGAATATCATGTGCAGTGTATTGATTATCACATGTATAGCAATTTTGTGATAATGTCGTATTGTGAGCCGTGTATCGTGTATCATATCGAATCGTGAGAGACTGTGATTCCCAGCCCTTCTCCCTTAGTGAGCCAGTGGAAATGAGTCTTATGTGACTTTTCTAGAGGATGGTCTCCAAGGAGGTGTTATTGCCTTGTCTGTAATATTCCACAGTATGGCATTACTAACTTTTTTTTGTATGTATGTTTGTGAGGAATACCAGATAGATACAAGCATTATGCCCTACTTTGGAACATTCCAGGAGACATGCAGGCAGTGCCTTCTCACCAGAAATGTTAGTTTTGTTTAATCCTTCAGGAATGTTCCACAAAATGGCATCAAACTTAAAAATCCAGATGGAGACGAGCAGGTGACTCCAACAAAAAAGAATTTGTGCAATAAAAACGCCTGCAATTAAATAAAATGAAAGCTAGATGAGTTCATTCCAGGCTGTGGAATTTTCCATATTGTCATGAGACTGAGGGGCCAGAGCACCCACACACGTCTCTGAGCACCCACATGAATCTCCCTTGACCTTATATTGATCTGTGTGCGCTTACAATAGCCTATAACATAACTGTGTACAATGCAAAAGGGATGTAACAATCACAATACGCATCTCATGGTATGATATTTATTTAAACATTTTGTAGAAACAAACAGAACTGTAATAGGATACTTTTTGCTTGCTACGTTGATAAGACTTTGGTGTGAATCATTATTGTTATAATCCCAAGAATTCAAGTAATAACATATTTCTTAATGTTGTCTGCACTGAATCATGGGATATGTAGTTCCCTATGTTTATTAACTGTTGCTACTACTACTTGTAATTCGATATATATTGAGACAGCAAGATATTATCGTGAGACCTTAGATGATATGACATCATGATTTTTCGGTTATTGCTGCGGTGGTGTAATGTCAGACAATATTTGAGGCCGATCGAGTTCGGACAAGGACGGGGGGAGGTGCATGTGTGGAAAGAAATTTTGACCCAAGGCCCGGTACCAGTGAGGGGTTGGGGACCACTGGTCAATGGGACATTAAGAGCGAGGACACCAGAGGGACAACAATGTGAGGAAGTCTGAACGGACAACACATAAATAATGTAGACCTGCTGTTCGTGAATGTCCCGTGCATGTTCACCACTACTGAAGGGGAGTGCATGAGAAACACATGGTGAAATATGTGTGTCTGTGTGAAAGAGCACTTGAAAAAATATAAAATGCTGCCTATGCCCTCAACTGGGTCTACAGGGGGGCAATAATGTCACTCATTTTAAGCGTGTAAATACTGTCACTCATTTTAGGCATGGAAATACTGTCACTCATTTTAAGCGTGTAAATACTGTCACTCATTTTAGGCATGTAAATACTGTCACTCATTTTAAGCGTGTAAATACTGTCACTCATTTTAGGCGTGTAAATACTGTCACTCATTTTAGGCATGTAAATACTGTCACTCATTTTAAGCGTGTAAATACTGTCACTCATTTTAGGCGTGTAAATACTGTCACTCATTTTAAGCATGTAAATACTGTCACTCATTTTAAGCTGGTAAATACTGTCACTCACTTTAGGCGTGTAAATACTGTCACTCACTTTAGGCGTGTAAATAGTGTCACTCATTTTAAGCGTGTAAATACTGTCACTCATTTTAAGCGTGTAAATACTGTCACTCATTTTAAGCGTGTAAATAGTGTCACTCATTTTAAGCGTGTAAATACTGTCACTCATTTTAAGCGTGTAAATACTGTCACTCATTTTAAGCGTGTAAATACTGTCACTCATTTTAAGTGTGTAAATACTGTCACTCATTTTAGGTGTGTAAATACTGTCACTCATTTTAGGTGTGTATAATATTGTCACTTAGCAGAAAATAGAAGAAGTATATGCACCCCTTTGAAACTCTTTTATACCCCTAGGCAGTCTGGTCTGGACCAGAGTCTGCCTCTACCTGAAAAGTTCCACAGTGTAGCTTTAAACTGTGTGTGTACCTGGTTTTCAAACACCTGCTCCAGCTCCTTGATCAAAGCCAACTGAGTCTTATCTTTGGCCTGGATCCTCAGGACCTGGTGACTGCAAAAACATAAGGAAAATGATTAATGTTACTACTACTACTACTACTATTAACTGTACATTCACATAGGTATTGTGCATGAAGTGTCTTGCCCAAGGACACAACCACAGAATGCAATGCTGACTTACAGTATCAAACCACAAACCGTCCTGCTAATGGCCAAACAGCTCTATAGGTTGTGTCACTGCTGCCAAAACATACACGTACACCATTTTGTGCAACATTTGATTGCTAGACACTTCCTGTTCCATAAAAAGGCAATAAAAAACTAACTAATTTAAACAGCAAACAGAAACGTGTGCTCTGCCGAATCTGTGTCAATAAGAGCAGAGGAGCAGAGTGGACTTTGGATGGTTATAAACGGAATCATTACAGTTTAATTAACAATAAAAATGACATGAAAACAAATAATTCCATAATAAATGTACACAATTCATTCAAGAAATTTTCATTTGTTTACCACTTTGACAATAGTCTTAATTTCTCATCATTTTCATACGTAACTTTAGCTTTAAAAAGAGTACAGAAATATAAAATTGATATTCAAATGTGTCTAATTAGAAATGAATTAGTAAGTCTATTACTTTCAATTAAAAATGCCCTATTCTGGTGAAGGGTCCATCACTTTTGTCTCATGAAAAATAATGTTCCACAGTATGGTATTAAACTTTAATTAATTTATTCAGTTCAGTGTTTTTATACTCAAAGATTTCTGCTTGTCTCTGTGGAGATTGCCACGTTTAATGCCATTTTGAGGAACATTGAAGTAAAGCAACATTTCCATGGAAACAAGTGCCTTCGGGCCAAATAAGGGTTAGGTTTGTGGAGATGCAAGCTCGCTCACTGTAAGGATGCAGGTTTTTTATGTTTTTAACCTCTATAAGAGATTGCCACATATAATGCCATTTTGAGGAAATAAAGTAAAGCAACATTTCCATGGAAACAAGCGCCTTCGGGCCAAATAAGGGGCAGGTTTGTGGAGATGCAAGCTCGCTCACAGTACTGATGCATGTTTTTTTATGGTTTTAACCTCTATAAAACATCTATAATGATAAAAACACACCTTTATTTTAGTCTATTCTTGGCCCAAGTTACATACTGTGGCTTTAAATCCCCAAAATGATAGAGAGAAAACATTTTTTACATTATTTTAACCACAAAACATATTGAATAGAACGTTTTGGTTCCTCCATCTAAAATGTGACATACTGCCCTTAATTAGATTACACATATACATATACACATACATATACAAAATATAATAAAATACCAAATATCAGCATACATTTTAAGTAAATTTTAACATAAATATACAACTTTTCATTTCATAATTTTAATTTCAAACCATTGAACTGAAATGAATGTTTAATCTGGTGTGTGTGCGTGTGTGTGCGTGTGTGTGTGTGTGTGTGTGTGTGTGTGTGTGTGTGTAAAACTAAATATAGTTTTAAGCAAGTTGTTTTTGTACCCCTCTACTTTAATACAAAAAAAAAAAAAATCAAATTCATAATGTTAAAATATAAAATTAATCACTTAAACAAATTTATTTTTCTTATATTATTGTGTGGTTTAATGTGTGGTTGTAAAATAAAAACATTTGTAATTTTTGGACTTGATGAGCTGTATATAGAGCCTTACCCATGGAAGGTCTCCTTGGCCAGAGCAGCGCACACCAACACAGTAAGTAATAGCAAGGACCTCATGGCAGGAGCAGACAGGTGCCAACAGGAGCAGGGAAGCGTGCCGTGAGGGGCCTCCTTTATACCTGAGGCTGGGTCATGTGACTACAGAAAGGTCATGTGATCACGCACGGCTGCTTCATTCCCACAAACAAGAAACAGAGATATCAGGGTGAATTCTGATCACCAATGTTATTCTGAGCTGATATTACACAATTTTCTAATCTATGTTACAATGTTGTTTCTTCATCACAAACAGACCTGGAGTGGTGTTTTTTTTTGTTGTTTTGTTTGTTTGTTTGTTTCATTCACACAAGTTTAATGCACAAACCCTGCAGATTTAGTCTTCTCTCAAACAGAAAACACTCCTGTTCCACCTTGTGATGTCATGTGGTAATACAGGAAATGCTTCACTGTTTTCAAACTCCACACACCTTCACTAGAATCATTTGGATTATTTCAAGCCTGAAATTTCCATTAACTATTGAACAAATGGTAAAAAAGGTGAAACCACTACATGACATCACAAGGTGGAAGAGAGCATTAAGTTAAAACCATAATTTGGAACATTCTCCATGCAGATAGATATATTTTAAGCCGTAATGTGTAATATATGCTCTATTCACAATTACGTCACAAACCAGGAAGTTAGTAATGGCCCTGTCACACCTTGACGATTCAGCCATGCCAACGTATCAGAATTTCCCTAAAACTTATCTATGTTTTTGTTCAATTTTGTGCGTATACATAGCGTATTCGTAACGAGTTGGACGTACACATAACATATTACTTACATGTAATTACATACAATACACGGGGTCTGTTCACCATGAAGTCTGGAGGAGTACTGACGGTTTCCCCATTTTTATATACTAATTTCCCTACATGATGCCAATACGCCATTATATGAGAGCTATAAGTTCTGTGGTTGTCAAATACGTCTGCATACGTCAATATGAGTTGGAGGTAAGTTTGATATAAGTTACACGTAGGTTCAAAGTACATCACTCATAAGTCATGGGTACACTAGACATTATCTCAGCATATTTGAACTTACAGGTAACTTACAATTAATGTGTGTGAACGTATGTCAACGATTGCACAACTTATGTACAACTTATGGCCCACGTATGCAGGATGTATAAGCACACACTGACATATATCGAGAAATTTTAAGCATGCTCAAAATTTTTCTATGATCTTGCCGTTATATCGACGTATGCCATCATGCTTCAGCATTCCAACTGTCTCCCTGGTTTGTGGCGTAAGTGTAAATAAAGCCTATTACAGCCAAAGGAACAACATTTCCATGGAAACAAGCTCCTCCAGGTCAAATAAGAGTCATGTTTGTGGAGGTGCAAGCTCACTCCCAGTAAAGATGCACGTTTCTCAAAGGTGTACTGTGTAACTTTTCTGGTGCAGGATCCATCAAACACTTCTCTATCTGGAGATGTTATTGCTTTGTCTGGAATGTTTCACAGTATGGCCTTAACCTTAAATTAACCTTAAACCTAAATTAAACCTTAAAATTAAATCTTCATGGAGACTAAACCAGACCGAGTTACAGGTCAGATCTGCGGAGAGGTGACCCCACTCACAGTCAAAATGCCTGTGCCTATTTTTTTGGTATTTTGAGCTATAAAACCACCTGTAATTGAATAGATATAAAATAGAGCTGTTTAATGTCATATTGTGGAACATTATAGGTGGCGCAATGACATATCCACAGAACCAAGCAGGCCACGGACCCTCAACTAAAAAGTTATAAAGTACACCTTTAAAAAACATCCATTATGAAAAACAAGAAAGGTGCATACTGTGGTTTTGAGAAGAAAAATCAGAAATAAGCAAATTTTGCATTATTTTAACTGCACAACCATTATAAAAAGTGACAAAGTGTTTTATATTTAGTCAAATTTTAGCTATTGCACGCATTTTGAAAGCGTTGCAAAATGAAAAAGATAAGATAAGTTCAAACCAAGTGAAAAAAAACAGCTGTGTACAGGTGTAAGATTCACAGAAACTTACCGTAACTTGGAGCTGGTTCAGAGGAGGTACATTTCCTCTTTGAACATTTCTGGTTTGAAAACACAATGACCGAGCAGTTCCTTAATCTGCAAAGTCAAACAAGGAAATCAAATGTGACAAGATATGAGGGTAAGAAAAAGAAAAAAATTAATAATTACAATAAGAAAAAGAATATTGGGGGGTTGGGGGTTCGTCACTTGTGTGTTTCTATGGAAATGTCACTGCTCTGTCTGGAATGTTCCACAGTGTGACATTTAACAGCTATGCCTTACATTTATTCAATTACAGGTTGTTTTATTACTAAAAATACCTACAAAAATAGGCATTCTGACTGTGAGCGAGGTTGTCTCTCCACAGATCTGATCTGTGGCTCTGGTTTGCAGAGGTGGAACCAAGTAGTTGTTTTGCAAGTCTCAAGTAAGTCTCAAGTTTTCGACCTCAAATCTGATTCAAGTCCCAAGTCAAAGACACACAAGTCCAAGTCGAGTCTCAAGTCACTGATCCATAAATCCAAGTCAAGTCCAAGTCATCTGCTTTGAGCTTCAAGTCATTTCAAGTCTTTAAATGAAAATACCAAATATATCTTAGATTTTTGCTATTTACATGAGTTTTTTTAAACTAAATTGTACTTAAAAAGTCATGGTATATTTATATATGAGTATTTATATAAGAGTTGCAGAAATGCTATTTTTTCCTTTATAAATGTCTTGTCAAGATCTAAGTGCGAATCATTACGGTTAGAATAGAAAGAATATAAGATTTAAAAGTGCTGAATAACAGTTATTTTGTCATGAATGATTATGTTTTCTGTAGTTCCCTTTGTTTTACTGTATTGTACTGTATATTACTGTATTGTACTGTATATTACTGTAGTACATTTGAGGATACCATCTCACAGTACTTCATTTACATCCAAAGTAAGAAACAGAAGGGGTAGGGACATGTTCCAGTTTGTTCCTGTAAAATGAAGCACCACATGTATCAACTGTAAAGAGAAAAGTATTTTCTAAAAACTTATATATATATTTTTTGGGAAAGCATCAAGTCTTCTCAAGTCACAGGCCTCAATTCTGAGTCAAGTCCCAAGTCAATGACCTTCAAGTCCAAGTCGAGTCCAAAGTCTTAGTCCATTTTATCAAGTCAAGTCTCAAGTCCTAAAAATAGTGACTCAACTCAAGTCATGACTTGCCAGTCTCCACATCTGCTGGTTTGTGTCTCTGTGAAGACAGAAAAGTTTAATGCCATACTGTGAAACATTCCAGACAAAGCCATAACATCACCACAAAAGTATATAACACCAGAAAAGTTACACAATGCACAATCTTTCTGGTCAGACTGTGTTAATACAAAGCTCCGACTGAGTCTAACTTGAGTAACAGAGCTTCAGACAGAGCAGTGCTTACACTTAGCTTCACACCCCCAGGGAATGTTGACGACATCAGCTGCAAAGTATCAATTAAAGTCTGAATCTTTACAAAAAAAACATATATAGTATCTTGATAAAACATGCATTCTTTCTGTGTACTTTTCTGTGTCACCTCTCCATGGAGATGCCATGCTGTCTAACATTTTAGACCATAGGTACTCAATTACAAACTCAAAAGGTCCAATTACCAAATGGACAGTGTTTCCAGGGTCCGAAAAAGTCATGGTGTATTTCCAAACTGTAGTAAATCCACATGGAACATATGAACTATGCACAAAGTACTAAATACATTACTAGATAGATAAATACTAAATACACAAAGCTAAATTGTGAGGGGGTGCTCTGCTCCCATTACTCCTGTATCACTGTCAGTGCGCATATGGCAAGTCGTTTTAACCTTTAAACACTGAACTGGATATGTATTGTAGATATCTCTAACTGAGTTTTGCCTAGTCTGTATAAGAAGAAGAAAAAAAGACTAAGGACGCGAGGACAATAGACACTAGTGAAAGGCGAAAGCAATGGGCAGTATTGATTCACGGGAAGGACAAAAGGGAAACTTTTGACTGCCTAAATCATCCCGAGTTTGTAGCGAACATTTTGTATGTGGAGCGCCATCAAAGCAAAATCCCAATCTCTCACTCAACCTTGGTTACGAATTTAAAAAGTCAACGCCAAAGCGAAAGGCACCAGCTGTTCGTCAAGAAACACCTTCCATTGCAAAGAGACCAAGACTTAATGTAATTTGTAAAACCACAAGAACAAGAAAGTGCAAGCTCAGCCTGTTTGTCTTCTGTACTTCTCACTTAAAAAAACAAGATCCCGCTTTGATGGTTCTCCACATATAAAATGTTCACTGCAAGCTCTGGATGATTTCAAAAGTTTCCTTTCCTGTAGATCAAAACTGCCCATCGGCTTCGCCTTTCACTATTTTTCAATTCCAGTCTGAAGGGAAACAGTTTGAACAGAAGTTTGGAGTCACATACATCTGATTCCCTTGTGCACCTATGGAGTTCACAAACACATTTCTCGAGCCATTTTCCACTGTTAGAACATCCAACAACCACACAATTACGATGTCCAAATCCCATAACTAAAATATGACAATATCAGAACCAGAAACAAAAGCGATATGTTTCAAAAGATTTGAAAAGATCGACTTTGTCAATAGACACATCCCACTGGGAAAACAAACATGGCAGTTTGATGCTCACTTTTTCAGAGAATCCAGACCCAGTATGCATTGCGCAGTGACTGGAAGTCCGAGATTCTTGATGTGTCTATTTACAGGTACAAGTTCTACGTTTGAAAGGTGCACTGTGTAACTTTTCTGGTGGAGGGTCCACCAACTATTTGTCTCCATGCAGATCTTACTGCTTTGTCTGGAATGTCTCACAGTGTGGTATTAAACCTTTCTATCTTCATGGAGACCAAACCAGATCAAGTTACAGGTCATTACTAATGTCATACTCATACATGACCATCAACCAAAGTTACACAGTGCACCTTAATAAATGAGCATGAATTAATTTTTTTGGTTATAAAGTTACAATGTTTGGTGCTAAACATACTGTATAACTGGAGTAAATTTTTCTTGTATTAATGCAATTTTAAAGGTGCAC